AAAGACGATAGATGCTAGGGATATATATACATGGAATGTAAGGCCATTGGCCACAACATAATAAGAAGAAGTAGTCTCTGTTTGTGGATGTAGGCCTCTCACACCGAGAGACCGAACCACGTAAAACTTGTCTTCGATTCCTACCTTGCTTGAATTTTCTCATGGTATCAGAGCCTGGTTCACACAAATCAGTCATCATGGCTGACGAAGAAACAAAGAAATCATCAAGTTCGTTTGGTGAAGAAGAAGCAAAGATGTCCGGTTCCTTCTTCGTCGCTCCCAACAAGGATCAAGATCCTTCGTCTCCCCTGTATCTCCACCCGTCTGAGACTGCAAGTCAATTGCAGGTTGGGGAAGTTCTCAATTCGAACAATTATGGGGAATGGGTCATTGAGATGACCGACTCCCTCATCATCAAAAACAAATACGGATTCGTTGATGGCACCATCACGAAACCCACAGCTGATCCAGAGCTTCGAGCATGGACTCGATGCGACGCCATCGTCAAGGGATGGCTGCGTACCGCGATGGATAAGGAGGTACGTGCTAGCGTGCGGTATGCAAGGACGGCCCAAGAAATCTGGATCGACTTGCGCGATCGTTTTGGACGAGGAAGTGCGTCGCGGGCGTATGAAATCAGACGCCTTGTGAGTATGTTGCAGCAAGAGAAACTAAGCGTTTCATCCTTTTACACACAGCTGCGTACCTACTGGGAGGAATCACAGTCAATTTCTCCGTCTCCCCAGTGCACCTGTGGCCTTTGCACCTGCGGACTCGAACGCCGAACAAAGGAGAGGGATGAAAGCAATAGACTTTTTGATTTCTTAATGGGGCTGGACGACAGTTTCGCCATGGTCAGAACTCAAGTCCTTACCATGAAGCCCACTCCCAGCCTAACGGAAGCCTTCAATATTGTTGCTTCCGACGAACAGCAACGTCTCATCGCTCAGAAGAGAAAACCCCAGGTTGAAGCGGCTGCCTTCAGCACGCGAAAAGAGAGCGATGAAGTCTCTGGGCGCTCTTCGGATGGCCGTGAAAGGAGTCGGAGATGCACTCACTGTGGCAAGACAGGCCACCTCAAAGAAACCTGCTTCGACCTTATCGGATGGCCCAACAGAGATAGTCGCGATGGTCGCGATGGTCGTGATGGTCGAGAGCGGGATGGTCGAGAAAGAGCTAGCGCTGGGGGAGGTAACTCCAAGGAGCGGCGCCGTCGAAACTCGGGCGATGTACCACAGCCCAGAGCCTCGCAAGTTGAAGGGGACAGTCCTGTCCCAGGTTTCACGTTACAACAATTGGAGCAGCTGAAACTTTTCTTTACCAAATCCGACAGCTCAGGCACAACTCCAGTTGACATCCCATCGTCCCATATGGCAGGTATGTGTCTCCCTGGCTCAGAATGGTTAATCGACTCGGGATGTAACGAGCATATTGTTTATGATGACTCCATGTTACACGAGATTGTCAGTGATTCCCCTAGCAAACCGGTTAAGATTCCAAACGGTACTAGTGTTCCTGTCTCTAAGATTGGCACCGTACAATTGTCGTCTGGTTTGAAATTGAACAGAGTCCTTCATGTTCCACAGTTCCGTTGCAATCTTTTGTCCGTCAGTCGTTTAACGAAGGAGAACAATGTGGCTTTGATTTTTCTTCGTGATTTTTGTGTTCTCCAGGACTTACAATCCAGGAGCGTGATTGGGAAGGGGATTCTCCGTGATGGACTCTATTTTTTGCGACTCTTTGAGCCAAGTTCCTTTGCGGCAGCTGGAGGAAGTGAAGTTTCGGCCAAGTCTTGGCATTCGCGATTGGGGCATCCATCTGCGGCAAAGATGCACCAACTCGCTAGTCTTTTGTCTCCGCGTTTGCGTATTAGTGAAGAGTTTTGTCATTCATGTTCTCGTGCAAAACAAACTCGAACGGTTTTTCCTTCCAGTTCAATAAAGACGACGAATTGTTTTGAGCTCATTCATCTTGATTTGTGGGGAGGCTACAGTATTCCGTCTCTTAGTGGTGCACACTACTTCCTCACCATCGTTGATGATTTTAGTAGAGCAGTATGGGTATATTTACTTCGTTTTAAGTCTGACGTTGCTAAATATCTGCTCATGTTTCTTGAGATGGTCCGTACGCAGTTTAAGAGTCAGGTATTACGCATTCAGACTGATAATGGAACAGAATTCCAGTCTACGCCACTCCGTGACTTCTATATTCAGCATGGCATACACTTTCAAACCAGTTGCACGGACACCCCTCAACAAAACGGGGTCGTTGAGCGCAAACACCGGCACATCCTTGATACTGCTCGCGCTCTACGTTTCCACGCAGGGCTGCCTATCCAGTTTTGGGGAGAGTGTGTCATGACTGCAGTCTACCTGATCAACCGTCTACCCACTACTGCCACTGGCAAAACTCCGTTCGAGATACTCTTCAACAAACAAGCCTCCTATCAGCATCTTCGCACATTTGGTTGTTTAGTCTATGCCAAGGATACTCATCGTGGCTTGCACAAGTTCGCTGATCGTGGCCGCGCTTGCGTTTTCTTGGGTTATCCTCCCGATCAGAAAGGGTATCGTCTTTAAGACCTTGTTTCTCAAAAGATGCTCGTTTCTCGGGACGTGTTATTTGTGGAAGATCACTTCCCATTTCGTTCACCTGATCAGCAACGCCTTCACTGGGTTCCTGCCGAGAACTTCACTTTTCCCGTTGAAGAAGTTGCTGGGTTATTTGTTGCACCTGACCCACTTCAGTCCGACAGGTTGGTCACAACACCTGGCCCGGCCCATTCGTCCGCGGCAGAACCCTGGCCCTCACCGTCGTCTGGGCCGTCATCTCCTGGACCTGCGTCTTTGCCTGGGCCTGCGTCATCTCCCAGGCCCACAGGGTCAAGCCCTGTCCGCCCTCAGTCTGGCCCAATCCTTGTTACTTCGGGCCATCACCAGTCCGAGCAGCCCTCTCCAACAGAAGCACCGCTCGCACAGTCCCAAGAAAACCCCCCTCGACGAAGTGATCGTGTCCGCAGCCGCCCAAAGCATTTGGCTGATTACGACACGACAGTACATGCAGCCGAATCCGTTCGTTATCCCTTGTCGGCTCACGTCAGCTATGGGCGGGCAACGCCTGAATACCGCGCATTCTTGGCCTCTGTCAGTAGTCATGATATACCAAAGAACTTCAATGAAGCAGTACGCCATGCTCATTGGAGAGAAGCCATGATCCGTGAAATAGCTGCTCTTGTTCAAACAGGCACATGGAGTCTCGTTCAGCCTCCCTCTGGTCGTCGTATCATCGAGGCAAAGTGGGTCTTTAAGATCAAGTACTATCCCGATGGCACCATTGAGCGTTATAAAGCTCGTCTTGTCGCGAAAGGATACACTCAGATTGAAGGAGTGGACTATCACGACACTTTTGCGCCAGTTGCCAAACTCGTCACCGTTCGTTGTCTACTTGCAGTTGCCGTTAACCGCGGCTGGTTCATTCATCAGCTCGACGTAAACAATGCTTTCCTACATGGCGATTTAGATGAAGAGGTATACATGAAAATCCCTCCTGGTTTTGCTGCAAAGGGGGACACCAGGGTTTGTCGATTGCACAAATCGATCTATGGTCTTAAACAGGCCTCACGGAACTGGTATCACAAGTTCACTGCTGCTCTTTGTGAACTTGGTTTTCGCTCTTCGCCTGCTGATCACTCTCTCTTCATCTATCGCCAAGGTGCTACTTTCGTCACTGCTCTTATATACGTCGACGACGTCATCCTTGCCGGAAATGATCTGACTTTCATCACTCAAGTCAAGCAATTCCTTGATCGCCGTTTCAGTATCAAGGACTTGGGGCCTCTTCGTTACTTCCTCGGGATCGAAGTTGCTCGTTCTCCACGTGGTATTGTTCTCAGTCAACGTAAATACACTCTGGATATTCTTGAGGAAACAGGTATTCAGGGTGCTCGTCCCAGTGCATTTCCAGTCGAGCAGAACCATCATCTTACCCGAGTTTCTTCTGCACCTTTTGCCGATGGCTCTGCTTACCGACGTTTAGTGGGCCGTCTCCTTTACCTCACCGTCACTCGGCCCGACATCACCTATGGGGTAAATATCCTCAGTCAATTCGTTCATGCACCTACGCAAGCCCACATGGATGCCGCCCACCGCATCCTGCGCTATCTCAAGCAGGCACCAGGTCAAGGCCTCTATTTCCCAGCAAACGGCTCACTCGATCTCGTTGGGTATTGTGACGCTGACTGGGCTGGTTGTGAGAGTACCCGTCGATCCACTAGTGGCTTCTTTATTCGTCTCGGTCATGCTCCTATCTCGTGGCGTACCAAGAAGCAGAAGGTTGTCGCCCGTTCTTCCGCTGAAGCTGAGTACCGAGCCATGGCTAGCACCGTCAGTGAACTTATTTGGCTCCGTTGGCTGCTTACCGAGCTCGGTGTTCCCCAGTCTCACCCGACTCCACTCTTCTGCGATAATCAGGCTGCCCTCCACATTGCTGCCAACCCTGTTTTCCACGAACGTACGAAGCATGTTGAGATGGATTGTTACTTTGTCCGTGAGCGTGTAGTCTCGCGCGACATCACACCCTGTAAGATTAGCTCCCAGCTCCAGGTTGCTGACCTTTTTACCAAAGGACTAGGGGCCGATCGTTTCCGTCTTCTGTTGTCCAAGCTGAATGTTCGCGACCTCCACAGTTCAGCTTGCGGGGGCGTATTGAATATATATACATGGAATGTAAGGCCATTGGCCACAACATAATAAGAAGAAGTAGTCTCTGTTTGTGGATGTAGGCCTCTCATACCGAGAGACCGAACCACGTAAAACTTGTCTTCGATTCCTACCTTGCTTGAATTTTCTCAGTCCAAGCGGTTAAAACCAAGTTCGTCGCTGCCGTTCCCTAACCCGCCGACCGACCTGTTTCCCCAGCACGCTGACCCACTGCTGTTTCTTTTTTTTTTTTTTTAATCCCAGCCGGCGAGCTTGGACGGCCGGTAGCTCATGGTTGTCAAGTCAAACTTGTCTCTCTGGTTTACTATTTTGCATAATGCTGATTGTCTCTCTGGTCTTGGCGACGAGGTTGGACAGCAGGAAGTAGGCGAAGGACACCACCTCCGATACAACGAGCCGTTTTGGTCTGTACGGGTCGGCATCGCACTCGGCTTGGTCCTCCAGGCTGCGCTCCTCGCTGTGGGCCAGGGACAGGCCCACGAAGATGGCGATGGTGAAGAGCGAGTTCACGTTCACCAGGTCGTCCAGGGCCTTCTGGTGGATGTCGATTGTGTCCACGATGCGTTGGGCTTCTGATGCTGAGTAAGTGGGCTTTGTGGTAGTGGTTTCTCTGCAAGGGGAAAGCCCAAACTAAAAAATAAGGTGGTGAAAAAAAAAAAATTGTAATGGGTTGTGTAACACCTTAGGCAAATCCCACATCGACAAAGCACGGGAGAGATCCATGGTTCATAAGTAGGAAACCGACCTTAACTGACAAGACGCGTTTTGGGGTGAAATGGACGAGTTCTTGTGAGAACTCCGAAGTTAAACGTGCTCAGTGTGGAATACAACAAAGATGAGTGATCTTATGGGAAGTCACCTTAAATTGCACCACAACCCGAAAACCGTGTGGGTCGAGACCCAAAGCGGACAATATCTTCGTCGGGAAAAGGTATGGGATGTTACAGTTTGATCGATAAGAAAATTTTTTTTAGTGTGCTGAATAAAATTTACTATCTTGTCAAACAAAAAATATAGGGAGACAAATAAGGATTTTTAGGGCGACGAATAGCAATCCCCTTTGCTTTAGTTGTTAATTTTTATATAATGTAAAATTACTAAGTGCTACATGTAAATTAAATTTCATTTTAATCATTAAATTGTTAAATTAATGCCTCATTTGTTTTCTATTTATGATATTATTCTTTATAAGGTATCGGTTGTCTAACGATTTGTTAACGGTCGAATACTGGTTGAACCACTAAAGTGCGAGCCGTTAACGTTACCGGATCATGCTCCGGCTCGGTTCTGCCAACATTGGAATAATTAGATATTTTGTGTTGGGTTGGTTTTTTACTTAAAAATATCGTCAACCCGACCAAACCCAATTAGAAACAAACCGTATGATTTAAATTTTTTTGGATGAGTTTAGGTTTAATATTTCCCAAACCGTAGTGTATGGATCGGATGATTAAAATGGCTACCCGGACCACGCAACCCATGTACACCCCTAATTTGAACTGCTGAATAATGAGGGTATGGACCAGAAGAAGACGATTTACCCTCCCTTGACTTTCTCGTCGTCTTCGACCTTCTGCCTCTTTGTATCAGATCCGAAACCAGGTGTTTCATCTACGGAAGTGCTCGAGAGAGGAATCGCCTCAGAGCTCACCAAGCCGTCGGAATCAAAACTCGACTGGATAGGCTTTTGGTTCATCTTTCACGGCAAAGAGGATCGCAACTAAGAAAGGAGAGAAAAGAGAGAAGAAGAACACTGGATTGGATTTTGTTATTTTCTAATCCCAAGAAACCCTGGATTGAAGGCTGAAGGCAGAGAATTGGGATCTGCAAACTGAAATATTTTATAATCGCAATAAGTTCCAAAGCGGTCATTTTATTCCAAATTAAGTTCAAATTGACCATCTTCAAAATTTTATTCTCAATTTGGGCCATGAAAGTTTACTTTAGCTTATCAGCTCCCACACTAGTCTACTACGGCTCAATTTGGTACTGCTGTAACTTTTAGCAGCTTCTGGTTTGAACTTTTAGAGAAATACTTTAAAAAAACAATTTAAAAAAACAATTGAGTATTTGGTTGAAAATTTTTAAAAAGTGCTTTTTAATATGAGAGGTTGGTGTAAAATGACTATAAAAGACTTATAATATAAACTATGAATAATAATTCTACATAAATAAAATGTAGTCAAAATGGATCTTATTAGACTTCTTTTATATTAATATAATTTTATACTTTATTTTATTTTTAAAATGATATAAATGAAAGAAAATTATATTTTCTGAAATAAAATTAAAATATGATAAGGATAATCTTGTATTTTCAAAAGCCAAACTTTTAGAGGTGTTTGACCCTGCTTTAGCTTTTGAAGCAGAAAAGCACTACTAAAAGTCGGGCCAAAATTCCCACCTATATAATCCTTTTCCAAACACCGGAGGCCCCTATGGTGGTATATACGAGGACCGTGGGGGTGCTGTAGTTTTCATTCCTGCCGCCAACAGGCCGCATGGACAGTGGTGGACCCAGTAATTTTAAATAGTGGTGTTCTCTTAAAAAAATAAAATAAAACAAAATAAAAATTAACTTCCAATCCATCCAGTGACATATATTCGACTTTTAAATTTGTTCTTGATGTAACTAAAAGCTGAAAAGTTTCAATTACTTGTCGTACAACCATAAAATCAATACAAATTATAAGGGTAGCTTGTAATTAAATTAGTTGTTAGGTTTTGAAAATAATTAAAGATAGAGAATATGATTTTCGTATTACACAGTGTTTAGAATAGACAACAAAAAAGTTGTAGCGTAATGAGAAATATATTTATTAATAATAGTCTTGTCCTGGGTTTGAATTATCCAAACTACCACTTATATTTCCATACGCAACTACAAACGAGAGTAGGATAATCATTTTTTCAAATTTCAGGGTGTTCGAAACTATTGATTATAATTTTTTTGTTCAAACATAATTTACCACCGGGGGTTGGATCATCGTTTTATAAAATTTAGGAGTGTCCCGGGACACCCCCAAAGATCCCTAGGTCCGCCCCTGCACATGGGGTCATCGCGGTCATAAAAACGGTGTGCCACCGCAGTGATTCAGGACAAATCGTCGTATCTAGGTTAGCCATTGATAAAAAACAATTATAAGCAAACCGCGAGGGGGGGGGGGGCGATTTGTCAAAAAACTGCGGCTACCCCCTATGGTTATTTCACAAAACAAAAACTGCATGAGGTGAAATGAAAACTGCAACACACAGCCCCCTCACTCCTGGTGGTCCTTGTATAAACTGCTATAGAGGTTGCGGTCCTTGAGAAAGGGCAGTATTTTTGTAATTTTTTAGTTTTTGGGTGGTTTTTCCCGAAAATTTCCGTTAATGGGTCTATGAATCTCATGGTTCAAAAATGCACGCTTAACCTAATGCTTAGTCATGCCAAAGCACAAGGCAATGGCAAAACGCCTGGCCTAGGGGTTTCGCGCCTAATTAGATACTGGAACACGTCAATGGAGTAAGTAAGTTTTGAGAACATTAGACCCGCCACAGCCTTTTACATACCGTGCTCGTGCCTATGAAATTTAGGCCCGACACGGCCCGTAAAAAATTCGTGCTCGTACCGGGCTGGCCCTTATATTTCGTGCCCGTGCCTACTTACACTCATGACCGATAATTCTTACAAATACGAATAGGAGATGCAGAAATGTTCACAAATCAATGACTAAGAAACTGAAGAGAAGAAATAAGTTTTGATTCTGCCCAAGGTAGATATTGTATCTTATAATTTCATCTCAATAGTGAACACTTGTGGAAACTCACAACCAACAAATCCCAATGATGCAAGATTCGAAAGTAATGCCACAACCAAAAAATAAGTCCTGATATGCTACCTCGATCACTGGGCTTTCTCCCGGAATTTATTTACTACCATCCCACCCCAAAGGTCATGTGAAACCTCGGTTTGGTAGGTTTTGACCTCCGATGATGAATTCTCCTTAGCCATAAATGTAATGAAATAGATGTAACCAACTTCTACCGCATAATTTGCAGTCAAGGTCTTAACGTACGTCAGCTGCAAAATAGAAGAGTAGAGCGTTGTGATAGCATGCGGAAAATTAGAATGGAAGCTGATCATGAAAAGCAGAACAATGAGCCAATGACAGACAGGTTCGTGCTGTTGCTGAATAGCAGTTTTGATGCACTTGGCAACAAATTCCTTATGATGGGCGTGGTCGGGATGGTCAAAGTTGACCCTACACACCGTGAAACCAGTGAAAGGGTACTCATCTAGAGGGTCTTCGTCCAAATCAAAACCCTGAAAATGGAATAACACAGCAACACATGAAGACGAGCAAAGCAGAAAAGAAAAAAAAAAAGTGAGAGAGAACTTCTCATAATATTGGGTGGAAATTAAATAGATCGATGACGAACAAGAACCCTAATTTAACCTCGCTGTCAATAACTTTACTAAGGTAGCGTTGGAAGCCTTCATCATCTTCCGAACAGCTCTCCCAGATCGTCACCTTCGGAGTATACTGTTTGACCTCCATGAAATCATAATCATCTTCATCATCGCCATCCTCAATCTCGTCAGCATCATCATCTTCAGTTTCCACCAACACATCGCCGTCGCCACCCTTGACTTTCTTGTCGTCTTCTTTGACCTTCTGCCTCTTGGCTCCAGATCCGAAATCAGGTGTTTCCTGCGCGGAGGTGCTCAAACGAGGAATCGATTCAGTGCTGACCATCTGTTTGCAGTCAGAATAAAAAACTCGTCTGGATAAGAGTTGAGTTCATCTTTGACAGCAAAGAGGATTTCAACTAGGATGGAGAGAAAAGAAAAAAAAGAAGAACACTGGATTGGATTTTGTTACTTTCGAATCGAGAGAAACCCTAGATTGATGGCCGAAGGCAGAGAATTGGGGATCTGCAAATCCAAATTGTAATATTTTTTCCTTCCCACCATCGAGTTTGTGATATTATATAGTTAAAGTAAAGTTCTAAAAAGGTCACTACAGTTCAAACTAAGCATAATTTGGCCATCAACTAAAAGTTTCGTTCCCAATTCGAGCCATTAAAGTTTACTTTTGCTAATTAGCTCCCAGACTATTCTGAGTGTTGGACTTGGTGGTGCCTAGACTCTATCATATTTTCATTATTAATATATTAATTAATTCTATAATAACTACAATTTACTAGTAAACTGTAAATGATTCGCACATATTAACAAAAACTTTATAAAACACAAAAAATAGCCAAATCACTAATAATATTACAAAGTTTTAGCCCTTGGTACTATAGACAGAACTATAGTTCATCATCTATATTTGTGTCCAACATTGTAAATATAAGATTATATGTGTGTTGTTATAAATAATTATTCCGAAAATGGGAATGATGCAACACAATTGAAACATTAAGGAGAAGAGAAGGAATAACATTGCTTTTACTTCATACTTTTGAACACATATTACAACTAGGGCTGTCAATTTGGTTTGGTTTGGTTAATCAAACCATTAAGTATGAAAAACCAAAAACCAAATCTCAAAAACCAAAAACCAAAATCATTTACCTCCTTTTTACAA